GGTATTTAGCTGATAACGATTAATATGACGATTAATTGCTCTCTCCGGGTTGGAGGTGAAGTACTGCCTCAAGTGGAGGAGTTCAAGTATCTTGGAGTCTTGTTCAGGGAAGAATGAAGCGTGAGATTGATAGACGGATCGGTGCAGCTTCTGCAGTTTTGCAGACTCTGCCCCGGCCCGTTGTGGTGAAGGCGGAGTTGAGCTGTAAGGCAAAGCTCTCTGTTTACAGATCAGTCTATGCTCCTACCCTCACCTATGGTCATGAACTTTGGGTAGTGACCAAAAGAACAAGATCACGGATACAAGCGGTCGAAATGAGTTTCCTCCTCAGGGTAGCTGGACTCTCCCTTAGAGATAAGGTAAGAAGTTCAGTTATCCAGGAGAGACTCAGAGTAGAGCCGCTGCTCCTCCACATCGAGAGGAGCCAGTTGAGGTGGTTTGGGCATCTAAGGATGTCTCCTGGACGCCTCCCAGAGAGGTGCTTCAGGCATGTTCAACTGGGAGGAGACCCTGAGGAAGACCCAGCCTGGGAACACCTGTAGTCCTCCCAGAAGAGCTGGAAAAGGTGGCTGGGGGCTTCCCTGCTCAAGCTGCTGCCCCTGTGACCCGAGTTCAGTTAAAGCAGAAGATAATGTATGGATGGACGACGATCAATCCCCTGGAGTCTCTGAACACCTGCAGTCGCATGACCAGTTTAAATCACTCTAGTGGGAAAGATATGCTCACTGTAAAAATCTGTTCCAAATTGTGTCAAAAGTACAGATTTCAGGCAATTCATCAAATTTTAAATTGTGTTGACAGGCCAAGTAAAACCAGAGCTATAGTAAATAAATTACAAAACTTGAAAAAAATTTATGTTAGTCATTTTTTTTCCTGCTTGGCCTTCAGAGGAGTCAGACGCTTTTTGCTCCCTCTCCCGAACATCCCTTTTTCCCTGCTTTGCTGCTGGATCAAGCCTTTCTTCTACCTTATCATTCGACGACAAAATAATTATGGATCTGGTCAACTGGTCTCTGAATGCAATGAACACTATTTTTTCCACTCTGAGGTTGGAGCGAAGGGAGCGCAGCTGTCCCAGCGGAACCGTGACTGCAGGCATAGTTTCTGGGTCCTGGAGGTGGAATCTAGTCTGCCTGACCCCGCTTTCCATTGAAGACGTCGAATATGTGTTTATATTCAGATTTATGATAATTGGATTCCTGCTGATCGGCTGTGGAGGTGTCCTGGTTTATCGGAAAACGAAAACGATCCTGACAGCAGTCTGGCCCTCTGAAAAGCTGTCAGGGACCTTGGATGGGATTTCCTGTACTGCAAATGCACAGACTCAAATGCTGGGGGATATAAGTCGCAGACTGGATGTGGTTCTGACGTGGATCACAGCTCAGCAGCGTGCCCGTGAGGAGTGAGTCCACCTGGGTTACGTTTCATACGGTAGAGGCGAGGTAAACAAATCTGGAATATTGGCATTTTTCGCAACACAGAGACGCAGTTAACACTTAAAGCAGAGAAAACAGGCTGCTTGCCCTAAACAATTATGTTCATTATTGGATCCCGGCAGCTGTGACCTCGGACGCAAGCTGATAAAACCTCCCTGGAATGACACGTGAGAAGAAAGCCTTGACCCCCCAATCCCCACCTGTTCCATCCGTGCACTGGATTGGTCTGAAGGCCACTTTGGGTGGAAACAGAGAACTGAACTCTAGTGACTTGTGCTTTGACTGATAACAACACTGGTTTGGACTCTGGAGGTCTCTGATCGGTTCCGGCATGAAGTCTGCCCTGCATCCCTCCCCATACCATGTGTTTGCCCCCCACCCACCACCCTCCCCTCGTTAGCTGATTGCACTGTTTTGCAGAGTAGTTTTTTTGAGCATAAGTTTGTGTGTTTTCTATATAAAACACAGGATCAAAGCTCTTTTTTTAACTCACCCTTCCTATTGTGTGTGCATTCTAAACTGCAAAGGTAGCGCACTAAGTTGCGAAGGACCCTGGACATTCGTTCCCCCCATGTTTGTCATGTGTGTGTTTCTCCGGACAGATGTTCTAAACTGCATTTCATTCTGCACTGCATCTTGATGTTGTGTGTGAATGACAATAAATGAATCTGATTTGAAGCGGAGTGAAGCATCAAGGAAACTGACCAGGGAAATCTCCAATCAGCCTGCCTGATGGCTTTAAACATATTAATCATCAAGTGCCAAAAAATAATCAATTTAAGTTTTTCTGGCAATTAACTACACACATTACAATTTTGTCCAACCCTAGCCTGGCGTCAGTGAAAATGTTTATCTGTCTGATGGTCAGTTAGTTGTTTCAGTGCACAAAGTCAGAACTGTAAGTGATTTCTGACCCTGGATAAGTGACCCTTTTTAAAGCCCCTTGTGTTATTTAAACACTGTATTTATAATCTTTGTGTGTGTGTGTGTGTGTGTGTGTGTGTGTGTGTGTGTGTGTGTGTGTGTGTGTGTGTTTAAGCCCAGCGCCACAGAACTGGAGCAACAGGTGGTCAGCCTGACATCATCATCAGTGCATTCTTCTCAAGGCTGAAGAGGCGGCTACAACAACAACACACACGTACACAAACTCCACAGCAAAACACGTTGCAACAGGAAGTGGTCTCCATGGTAACACAGTTTCACATCCTGCCCGGGTGATACATCAAGCGTTTTTCTCTCAGCCAAGAAAAACAGGAGAAGATTGGGTCTACCAGTCAAGACAGCAGCCTCTCCTCGTCGGGTGATATTTACAGTACGCCGCACAGCTCACGGAGGCCGTAATATATTTAAAGCGTGCAGCAGGTATTTGTTACGTGAGCCTGGGTGACGCCGCGTGAGGCACAGGGAAGGCAACAGGCTTAAGGTCAAACTGACATTTTGCTTTCAGTGGTTCACATCTAATAACCCTGTTTGTTTTGGGTTTGATGGGACATGTGATGCTATCGAGTGTCTCTGTCCTGACACAGCTACACCTCTGTTGCTCAAACGAAGGCTTTTAAAAACACACACACCAGGTGGAGGAGAGGTGAAGGGATTAGAGGTCAGGAGTTTGCTGCGTGTTCATTTAAATAACTCCTTAAACAGGTGCTGGTGAATGAGACATTAGAGCTGCAGAGGTGCCAGAGCTGGATCTTCATATTAAATTCTCATACGTGCAACGCTCCGCCAGCTTTTTGTCATCTGTTTAAATATAGAGAAAAGACTGACCCACGCTCCTGATTCCCATCATCATCTGAGAGGTTTCATTTGCACAGCTTTGACATTTAGAGCTGGAGTTGATGTGTTTATGATCCGCAAACGTTCCCTTTTAACAAAGCTGCACCCTTTGATTTACAAAAATATGGTTTTATTAGTTACAGGACCATATACTGCCATCTATAATCATCATTCGCCTACATTTGTTTTAAAAGTCACGATTCATATCACCTTCATAGATCATCCTACAGGTCCTTGAAATCCTTGAAAGTTTATGAATTAGAAAAAAATTATTTCAAGGCCCTGTAAAGTCTGTGAAAACAGCCAAAAATTACACTTGTCCTTGAAAGTTTTTTGGGGATTGAAATTCTATTCACGACTGATTTTCATCATCTTTTAAAAAAATTAATTATAAAGTTAAATAAAATATTTTTACATTAGTTGCACTCAGGATTACTGTAAACTGACGTCATTGTTTCTGACTCTACAATGTGTTGTGCTGTTCAGTTTTCATTGAATTTACATGATATTAAACCTGTTTATTGGTAACATCCTGCAGTAGCGGTAGGTCATTGTGGTCTCACGTGGTTCTTTAATTTGAGGAAATTGGTGATGGAAAGTCCTTGAAAGGTCCTTGAATTTGATGTTGACCAAGATGTGGGAACCCTGATCTTTATAAGGGTTATTTTGAAGTCTGAAAGTCATACATACATTTGAAAATGTTTAAATAACTGAGTTTTTTTTTTCATACTCTGTACTGGAAACAGTGCTGAAAATTTAAAAAAAAATGCAAATGCCTTTTGACTTCCAAGCAGTGTGCTTATCAGGAACCTTTTTATCTTTGTACAGCAGTAGCTTGTCTTCTCAGCATCTACTGTTCTGACTCACGCACAGCTGGTGGATTCTTTCTGCCAGATTTTTTTTATTAGCACTTACACACCAACACACAAAGAGAAAGCTCAAGAAGTTTAGTGCAGATCTGAAAAATGACAATCTTAGATTTGATTCAACACTGAGCAGCAATTTCTGAACAGCTGCAGATTCTAAGATCATTGTGTCACACAGAAAGGTATGTAAATGTGAGTATTTATGGGATGTAAGATCTGTCTCCCTCGGCTGAGGTGAAAGTGGCTCTGGGGAAGTTCCAACAAACATCTGATGTGAACTGGAAACATCAATATATTGCTGCTATACCTCACGTCTCTTGGTTTACAGATTTAGTTATTACTTCTATCAGTTTCTAGCTTTCTTTCTTCTCTTCCCTCACACCCAGTCTGAGTCACCGACTCATTCAGCTGGTTAATTTCCTCTGTGTAAATTTTGCCCTGTTTGCTTTTCTCTCTGCTTGATCATTGTCATCATCATCATCATTACCTCAGTTCCTGTTTCCCACTCTGCCCTGCTATTAGAGACCCTATCATTTGTGGGTTTATTTTTGTTGACCTTGCTCCAGCAGCTCTTTGTAGCTTCCATTTGCTCTTCCACCTGCCGCCTTTTGAGTTTGGTCAAATCCTTTTTATGCTGGTTAAAACTAATTACAATCTGCAGTAAGTTGTGATAGTTGATAGGCACTGGTTTTGTCAGGACTTTATACAACTTATTAAAAGACTCAAGTAAATAAATGTTTGTATCATTCCAAGCTTCTACTGCTCAAATCTTGTTTTTAAAAATCCACCCTGGAAAAAAAGATAGGTTCAGATAAATCATTAAAAGCCCCAAGACTGCCTTGTCCATGAGCAAACCTCCGATCCCAACTTGAGTTTGATTTCTTGGTGTGTTAAACTGGAGACCACCTTCACACGTGCCTACCTTGGTGCAGTCCAGGCACTGGAAGACGTAGCAGGCACACTTCAGCACCCCTCTGACCAGGCAGGCAAAGACACTGGGCTCCTGACTGTTGTGAAGCATTTTGGTCACTTGGTGAGGACGACATTCAAACAGGACGGTGTGCGTTAGAGGGTCCCAGAGACTTGATTCTCCCATGGCGGACACACACCGCACCCAGGATACAGACACGTACAGGCAAACTGTTTTATTACACAAAGTCGGATCCATCGAACCCCCTGCAGTCACAAGTGACCCGACACTTGGGTCCTTCTTCGCAGACCTGCAGATCTCTGACACCACCCAGGGCAACATGGCCATGGTGGTCTGATGGTGGACCGTCCGAAAACCAATCATAGTCAGCTTGTACCTCATCTCCCCTTCATCCACCTGCCCCCTCCACGTGGAGCTGCTCTCCCGAGCACCAGAACATATCGGAGGGGAAGAGGTGAGGCGTGACAGGGCTGGACAGGAGTGGTGGTTCGGGGTTAGACCATGACTAGGTTTGTCAAAGCTCCGAGGCCTCTGGGCTTCACCTGCTTCTGGCTTCACCTCAAAGAACAGTCCATCCATGCTGGTTTCTGAGTCCAGAGGCAGATGTTTGCCTCTGCTTTACCTGCAATGCATCGACAAGAAAGAATGACTTTTTCAATAATAAACAGAGCCAGCCTGTGGCATAGGCAAATGCCAAGGGTGATGTCCATCTAGGGGTGAAACTACAAATGAGGAAGGAAAAAATTCTAACTTTTTTATCAGAATATAGTTGATTGAGTCTAAAATAATCCCATGTTACTTAAATTAATGAAGGTAACTTGTTCTGTGTTTCTCAGCATTGTTACTACATGGGGTGTTATATGATGCAGAGGACATTTCATGATAAAAACGATCATGTGATGCAGTCAAGAGTAACTACTGGTGCTCAGTGTGTAAATAGAAAACAAAATAAGGATAATGGAAGTCTCTGTTTTGATCTCAGATAAAGTTTTGGTTTTAGTCTGGTTTTCAGTGTTCCACCTTCCTACAAATATTGATTTTATGTTGTTTTAACAATCCCATGAATTTAATTAAACGCTCTTCAAATCGTTGAAAAATCCATAGTTTTGAATAGATCTTTTAAAAAAAATTCCGGGGAAATATACCTCTGGACCCCCCCCCCAGAACTGCTTCAGTCCACAGCTGCTCGTTAACATGAACAGGTGTTCTTAACTGCTGTAGGCTTCTGGTATTGTTTCAAATTATTTATATTGGACAACCTAGTTTCTGAAAAAAAAAAAAAACAGAAATTTAATTTTATTATTTTTTTAATTAACCTTTATTTAGCCAGGAAAATCCCATCAAGTTCACTGATTTCTTTTGCAAGGGCGGCCAAACTCACAATTTGTGAATGAGCTATAATGCACATACCATGTAATGATGGGATTTGTGCTATGCATTTGGTAAATCACACATAAGATACAAAAGAGCCGTGGGCAGCTAAGCTCCCAGGAGCAGTTAAAAGGATTAGGCATCTTGCTCAAGGACACCACATCATGTGGGCATGGCGGGGAATTGAGCCTGCAACTTTCTAGTCCCAAGATGACTCTCCTACCTTTGCACCACAGCCGTCCAGTAAATTGACAGTGAGATTTAGAAAACTGCACAAGGGGCACCAAATAAAACCTTGCCTAGGACACCAAATTGGCTAAGGCCGGCCCTGATAATAAAGATGGATTTATGAAATATGTAACTCGTTTTAATACTATACAGCCCAACTTTTTCCACAAGAAGACTTGCATATCAAGCAAATCTTTGTTGCAGCAATAAATCAACTGAGTATTTGAGTTTCAAGGGCAAATATACACAGGACAGGTATTTTATCATACTGTACACAGCCTGAAAGAGGGAGACACGTGCAGAAGAGAAATAAATGAGGAAAAATATAAGAATATTAACGCAAGTCAACCTGTTAAGCAAAATAAACACAGCTGACCTTGTCAAATCTTCAACTTGAGTCTGCGGAGACAGCAGATCGAAGTCATCAAGCGGAAGTGCAAAAATCACTTTTATAGCGGAAATCCCTTTCCCCTTATTCACCAATGTTCCTGCGCACCGCGCGAAATTTGTAGTATAAATATTATCAATAATGTTTTTTTAAAGTGGCGCAGCTGAATCCTGTTCTTGGTTCGGTCTTACCTGTTAGTTCACTCCTGTCCGGGGTGCATGTTGAGGCTTCCTGCACCACATGTACCTATTTATCCACAGCAGAGACCTTTACGCTGCTCCGTGTGTTTGTAGCTCGAGTTAAATATAGAAAACAGGGCCGGGCCGAGCCGAGCCGTCCTCCCTCCTCCTCTGCATGACAAGTGCACGCTGCCTGCACGCGCTGCTGGAGGATGCAGGGGGGGTCCCTCAGCACACCTGGTATCAATTACCAATTATAACACTTCATGCATTATTCGATTTTTTTTATTCGATTACAAACGCTCACAAGCACAGCATTTAAATCTCTCAGACATAATGCTCCTTACAGGATAAGAAACGCATTCCCCCTCATTATTAACTAAGGGCTCTGTGTTGTAACATAAAGGAATGAACAGTAAGTTAAAGCATCATGACTCCACCTGGTGGCGCTCTACACCTCGAGGCCTTGTGGGTTTTTACCTGCACACATCTATGATGATGTGAAGCTTTAAAGCTCCCGCATTAACCTGCAATAACATGGCACACATTCAAAGGTTTACAGCAGTTTACAACTCTGAGTGCAAGGTAAGGTAAGCAGCAGTAGTGCAGGTGATGCTTAAGCACAGTGTGTTTTTTTTTTTTTTTTTTGAATGCTGGTAATATAAAGCAGTCTGAATACATCTCATAACTTTGTCTGGAAACAGGAATGTCCTGCGAGCCTAATAATATACCGTTGTGGTCCATATTTAGGAATGATGCACCATAAATCAAAAACAGGACAATGAAATTGGTTGACAGAATGCAGATCGCCTGCTGCCTTGAAACAAAGTTCCCATGCGAGCTGTTAGCCCTCAGAGTAGTAATGGAAATGACTCTCAGCTACTTCAGCATTAAATTTGAGCTCAGTATCTGTATAAATGGTCGAGTTATAACAATGGTTGTGTTATATAAGGTTGCTTCATTGCGGCTGCCGTCTTAAATTTAACTGACTCCAAATATTAATCAGTTGTATACGTAAATCTAATAAATACTTTCAGAGAGTATTTTTAAAATCTGTCCAGCGATTCATGCAATATTTTGCTAACAGACAGAAAAATGAGCACGCAAACAAGCTCCTAAACTGATCTTTGGCTACAAAAACTCCAAGCTGAGGTTCGATGTCGTCATAAAGGCAAATGATTAAAAAATAGAAAGTTATATGAAATATTTACTGGTCCAAAAATTCCCTAAAAATGCCTCCATAAGTAAAAGCCTTAAATTAAGATTAAACCCAAGAACCACTTGTGCAATTATTAAAGATATTAATATATTTTTCACAGTTCGTCTGATTTTATCAGAACTACTCTGGTTTGGGCTGCAACTTATTCTTTGTTGGCTCAAAGAAGTTTTCAACGATGGAATCCACCAAGTCATCCAGCTCCTTCTTCAGGTGTGTCACATCACTGATAAACAAACAAAAGAAGAAGGAAGAGCAAAACCTTAACACAAAGTTTCTTTTAATTAATTAATCACAGTTGCAGACTCCTGCTAAGACATTTTGAATTAAAAAAAACACTTTAAAGCAAAGCAGCTGACAGATTTTATAAACTCTATGTTCATTTTTTTCTAGAGAAACCAACACAATAAAATAAAATAAAAATAAACCACAACGCATGAATTTATTTGGACTTTGAATTTAAAAATGTAATAAACTTTATTTTCTTTCATTATACTTTGAGGTGTTATACTTAACAATCCCACCCTTAAATCCTGTGACTCCCTGGCCTCTACGTGGACCTACCTGTTCCCAGGAGCAGCACAGAGCTCAGTGTAGTATTTAATTTTTGGCTCGGTTCCGCTGGTCCTCATGGTGGCCACGCCTCCGTTGGAGAAGCTGAAGGTGATCATCTGACTGGAGCTGGAGGTGGGAAGGACCTGAGAGAGGGAGAGGAAGACGTGGCAACATTTACAGAGTCTCCCGTCAGAAAAGTTCTATAAGAACTCGGCGTGTTTCGTGTCCTCACAGCCTTCTTGTCGGGCTGGTTGCTGTCGTATCCGGTGGTCAGGTCTCGAACGGCGGACACAGAGAAGCGACCGCATTCGGCGGGGTACGAGCCCTTCTTGCCGCCGAAGCTGCGCAGCCGCTCAAACAGTTTGCGGATGACGTCCTGATCGTGGCAGATGAAGTAGGAGTTCTTGCTGATGTGGTAGCCATACCTGACAGTAATGAGTGCCGGAGGCAGAGTTTATCTCTACGGCTAATAAAAAGGTGAGAAACTCAAAGTGCAAAGATAACGTGTGTGCGTTTCTTACTCTTCAAAGATGGTGGTGAGCTGTTGAGAAAGGCTTTTGTTTTTTGCAGCCAGATAAGACACCATCTCCCCTGCGATGGCTGCACCACTCACTCCATCCTTGTCCAGTACAGAGTTACAACACATGTATCCTGAAACACACACAGTTGCTGCAGTCAGCTGTTGTTTCCTTTAATAACAGAGCGTGCCCAGTGCCATGTGATCCCATTCTCTGCATCACAATCTTGTAGTCTTTGTTATGTTGTGCATGGTTAAAACAACACTCATCTCAAACCCCAAAACAGAACTTTAACGTAGAGTTTGACTGTGAGCACAGCTAAAACAGAAGCAAAGACTCAAACCCTTACTCAGGTCTGATGGTTCATTATTTATGTTTCCTATAAAAAATGAAGGACTAGGTGCTATTTTTATCCCAGCTTAGAGTGATACAGACACTTCAGTCTGCAGAAGGAGGACATAAGAAAAACATCTAAAGAGGTGATTCTGTTTTTTTTCTCTCTCTGGAACTAAAGAAAAGCCCAGAAAGACATCTTAAAATCCTAAAATTACACAAGACTAGTGACAGCAGAAAGATCTACGACACGTAAATTACTTTTCTTAAGGGTTCAAGGGGCAAAATTTACAGATTCTCATCCGAATATCTAAGATATTCACTATATATGCGGTTTTGAATTTGATTTAAATTACAGGCTGTGGCCCTCCAAGACATTAGAAAACATTATCCAACATGTATAAGAAGTGAAAAAGCAGATGATAAAATAACAACGACAGACAATCTGGTAAAAAAAAGAAAAGAAAAGGTTTTGCTGCTGTTAAATGGCTCTCGTTCATCTGTTCCTGGTTAAAAGTTTGTGCTTTGAACAGAGAACTCCAATAAATGCAGCCAGCAGGAAATATAAAATTAAAACTCTCCACCCCACTTTCTGATGGAAACTTCACTGCACCTATTAAAACCCCTAAAAGAAGTTTTAATGTTTTAAACACTGAATTTCAGTCTGTTGCAGTTGGTACAGTCAATCTGGTTGAAAACATTTCAAGTTTGGCTTGAGCTTTTCATTACAATTTCCATTGTTTTTTTTTTTTTTTATTGGGGCTGATCAACATGCTTCCTAATGCAATTTATTAATACAATAAAAACAACTGCTCACAAAAAACAATAAAGGATGTTACTCTATGTAGACTTGATTTCCCCCTCAGACACATTTATGAACTCAAACCAGCCTCAAACTGATGCACACGTTTATGTCACATCCTGTCAGAGCAAATGAAACACGAACTCTCACATTAGATGTCCCCGTCTTGTGGCTCAACCTGCGTCCATCATTCATTTGTGTGTGCATACCTATGGCTTCTTCAAAAGCAAACAGAACGGTCTTGCCCTGGTCCAAAAGGTCTTTGGCTCTGTTTCCCATCCACTTGAATCCTGTGAGGGTTTCCTGAACAAACATCATGACAGAAGAGCTGTAACCCTGACAAACGACAGCGTTTCCTTAAAGATTTCCATGTTGGTGCTTTAATAATCACAAGCTCACAGGTTTACAGCTACAGCTCAAATTCATATTTTTAACCTACATTTTGCACATGGTTTTTATAAACTATTACATGATGTAAAATCAGAGTTTTAACCTTGAACGTGTTACCTCGAAGTGGAAGCCCTCCTTCAGGGCGATGGCCCGCAGTATTTTAGACGACACCGTGCTTGACAGCATATAAATGTTTTTCACAGCAGCAGCTTCAGGGTTCTGCTCCTTCCAGCAGTGGAACATCCACCAGCCAAGCAGCGCTCCCAACTCATTCCCGCTGAAGACTCGCCACTGTCCGCTGAGGCAGAGAGAGACTTCGGATTAAGAATTAAGATTAGGAAAACTTACATTTGTCCTCTTTAACAAACCGGGCAGAAAAACACAAACCTCTCCTGCTTCTCAGCTACAGCCAGTCGATCAGCATCAGGATCGTTTGCGAACACTACAGAAGCTCCCTCCTCTTCTGCAAGACTAAACGACAGCGTCTGCAAAGCAAATATTTATTATCAAAACAACCTAAATGCAGCATCTGCTGCTCATGATTGAATCTCGTGTATTTTGGCAGTATCTTAGTTCTCACCAAGACTCCCTTTCCCTCCTCAGGGTTAGGGTATTTCACCGTGGGAAACTCAGGATCGGGGTCTTTTTGTTCCTTCACAGCATACGGGGGGAGAAGATCAAAGGCCTTGAACGCTGACTGGACAAATGTGTGGCCAACGCCGTGCACGGACGTGTGCACTATTTTCACCTCTGAAGTTTTATTTATTTCCCTGCGAAGAAAGAAGTTAAAACCTTTTATTTACATTTCTACATTAGTAGTCTTGTTTTTTTTTCCATTAATTTAAGCGCAAATTACAGATCTACTGTATATCCAATCTACCAATCGCAGAACCTTTACTAATTTTAAAATTTTATAGGTGTCTTTTGTTGTGAATTAGTGCTATATAAATTATTTAAATTGAATGTAAGAAGGCCCTCATACAGCTGATTCAGCATTGCACAACTATTAAAAGCATCAATAAAATGCAGCGCATGAAACTCTAGCTGAACATTGTTTGAATCGAGCACCTGTAGTGACAATGTTTCTGAATGGCTTTAAAGTATTGTGTGAAGATATCCTGGTAGGGGTCTTTCAGTAAGGGGCTTTTCAGGGTCTCCTCTGTGTTCCAGGACTCGGGCCAAGGCTTCAGGTTCTCCTCAATGGCTTTAGAGATCCCTACGTCATGAGGAGACACGATCTGAGCACCATTTTCCCAGTACACCTAGCATGGAAGCAGAGGAAAAGATTTAAAAGATGTGCTCATTAACATTATGTTAGGTCTTACTAATAAAAAGGAACAGTGTATTTGATATGAAATAGTTTCAGCTAAAAAATAAATTGACAAACGCTAAATATTCTTGAGTTACCTTGTAGCCGTTGTCCTGTTTGGGGTTGTGAGAAGCGGTCACCATGATGCCAGCACACAGACCCAGATGGGAAACTGTGAAAGGCTGCAAGAAATGAGATTTAAAAAAAAAGACAATCATCAATAATAATAATACCCATTTAAAAATATGAAATCTCATAAAAACTGCACAAAACTATGATTCTCTTATTGACACTGTCCATCAGATGTCGTACGTTACTACCACAAACAACCACCACTAAATTAAAATATATATATACTGACATAATATATAGTCAGCATTTAGCATTTAAACAATAAAAAGTTAACATGATTATTAATTATAATTAGGTAAAAACTTATATTTGGGTATAAATTTACTTTAAGAAAGAATGAGCTTATCATGTAGTATTTAAGGAAAATAATCAAATACATGTCAAATGAAATCCTAAACGTTGTGAAATTTTTCTCTTGTTAAATAGACAACCTGTTGAATCATGCGTGTTATGCAACATGCTCTTTAGCGGGGGGGGAGTGGAGGTTTTGAAAGGAATTTGCCCCACAGCTTCAGATCGACAGCCAGCGTGTTGTAACGTCCAGTGAAACCAGCCTAATGTACAGATCACAGAAACCGCAGAGCCTACCACAAAAGGTGTTGGTGTGATGTCAGAGAAGAGGTGAACCGGCACTCCTCGGCTGATGAACACGGCTGCGGCCAGGTCGGCAAAACGCCTGCTGCTGCCCCCGCTGGGAGGGTGGGCTCGAGCATCGTACCCAATCACCACCCCTCGCTCTTTAAGGGTCGTAAAACTCTGCTCCAGGTACGAACAGAAACCCTGACAGGAGGGGGGGAAAATAAAAAAGATATGGACAAGGCAATTAAAATGACTTACTGACCAACAAAATCAGTGATTTCAACAGTAAATTTTAGAATTGCACAATAAATGTTAACATTATTTCAGTACCAATTTAAGGCTCCCCTTATAAATGGCTTTTAAAGAGTTTATATATAGTTTATTAATTCATCTGTAAACACTTTATAAATTATTAATAAGTGTTTATAATGCATTAATTAAGGTAAAAAAGAGACTAAACTGTCCGGTTTCTTTCCAAAAACTGAGCTAAATCTGTTTGGGTATTAAACATTTCAGACTAGTTTACTACTTTGTAAGCACAATAATGGTTAGGAAATGCATATTTTAACATATAATATTGTACTGTATTACTGCAATATACATATCCACAATTATTAAAGGGATCCTTATTGTAAAGTGTAAAACTGTACACTATTTTGGATGGAATTTTTTTTTTTACTTTTATGATACCTCAACATTGTTGACAGTAGTTACATGTTTGAACAATAGTTTCAAATATTGATAGCCAGCACAACGTTTAAAAAATTGTGATTTTTCACATTAAAAACTAACTTTTGGCATTTATAATTGCCATTAATAGTGTACTGTATTACACTTTACGATAAGTCTCCCTTTGACAGCTGTGAATATTTACAATGCAGTAATATAGTATACTAATATGTTAAAATATGTGTTTCTTATTGTTTTTGTGCTTACAATGTAGTAACCCAGTCTGGAATGTTTAATAAGCACCTTTTAGATGTAATATGTACGTGAACAGATTTGTCTCATTGTTTGTAAGAAACTGGACAGTTTTGTCTCTTTCTCGTCTTTAACTATTGCATAATAAACATTTATTAATGATTTATAAAGTGTTTACAGCTGAATTAGTAACGTATCTATAAACTCTTTAGCCATCTATAAAGGGGAGCCTTATTGTAAAGTGGCACCATTATTTCTAAAACAGCAACTCAGTAAAAAAAAAAAAACATTTTGTTGATGATCACAGAGCAGTGGGAAAAGTGAAAACTCTTCTTGCACAGTATGTATGTAAATTGGTAACTGAGAAACAAACTGTGAAGTACTTTGTAGAACTTAAACAGGGTTAAAATGTGCCATGCCTGTAAACCATTTATATAGTTAAATGAATTAACCCGTTTCTGCCTTACTCAAAAAAAAAAAAAAAAAAAACCTAAAATATGTAATGAGAAAAAAAAACAACCTTATTCTTAAGATACAGATTAAGTGACACTGGCATGATTGAGTGATGATTTATTATATTATTATTTGTTGTAAAACAAAACAATTTCTAGCTGCAGGACTCAAACTGAACTGAGTATAAAAAGGCTGGTTTGTGAGCCTCACAGCCGACACCAAGTACAGCTTCATGAAAGCAGGGAAAGGAAAAATAAATCAAATGTGCCATGACGGTTCATGTGACCCGATGTCTAATGAGCAGCAGTGTCTCATCGATTAACCAACCTGCGTGGTCTGGATGATAGTCAGGTCGTTCATACAGGACACGCCGGGGCCCATGGCTGCTCTCAGTCCTGCTGTACCAAACTCCATCCTGGATGAGAAACATTTCCTCAGAGCCTCCACCGCTCCCTCCTTCACCAGATTCTGCACCATTGATGTTGTTTTGGGGTTCTGAAAAAAACAAAACAACCTACATCAACATTTGTAAGAAAACCCAATAGCTTTTCACATTCAAACGATTGAGTAGCTTATTTTAATATACCAAAAAAACTACTTTGAAAAATCTTATTCACTACAGATAAACTGAGCAAAACTTGACTGAAAGAGCTCCTGTGACATGTCAATGCAAATACAATGAATCTGTCCAGTCCGATGGCTCCTGTTTGTTGTGGCCCCCTCAACAAACCGCCCCAACACAATATCCAAATGTTACTGAATGAGTCCATTCTCCAAAGAGATTTAAATCACCGCATGTCTCTTTAGATTTAAGGACGTTTTTGTGTTGGTCAGATGGCTGGAGTATGTTCTCAGAGGCATCATTACCACACAGGTTGTTCAAACAGCTGATGAGTGAAACTGAGGCAGAAGAAATGAGGAAATTAAACATTTGTGTAAAAGCAATAAGAAAATTTCTCACAAGTCCTCTCATTTAAACAGTTATTGAAATAAAATACAGTTTAAAAACACAGTTCTGGTTTCCTCTGCCAAATCAGGTAAAAGGTTTTGAATAGAAAACAATGTCAAACTTGACATTTGAAGACAGATTTCTGATGTTTTTTAATGACAATCAGCTGATTACTAAATACCACACTTCCTGGTTGCATCATCACATTACTTGTTCCTATTTTTTTAAATACTATGAACTGATATGTAAAGCCTTTCAAAATGTGCATATAGAAAAACGTCAGTAGGCTTTTTTAAATGATCCACATATTTAATGCTCGGTCAGTGACATTTGGACCCTGTTTTGGGTCAGCTCACCCTGTCATACTGCAGCCACTGTCGGACAGCCTCGTCTAGCTTCGTGTCACCGGTTGGGGTCAAATTATCCTCCATTTCTTCTTTTTTCTCTCGAGTCAAACTGCGTCCGAACCGGCGAGGTGGCTGTCAGCCTGCAGCGAGCCAGACGCGTACGTACATCCGACAGTAACGTGACCCGGGTGTGACGTAAGCACGTACAGACAGTTCCGGTGCCTTCACTACTGTAAACTGCAGCAGACACGCGGTCAAAGAAATGTCGACAGTACAAGCCACTGTAATAGAGAAACATTTTTAATTGTCTCTAAAATAACAGTTTATGTAGCTCAGTGGAATAAGCCAACAAACATACACTACAGTCTGTCCTGAATGCTCAAAATTAACTGCGCGCTCATACGATGTATTACGGTATAATGTAGACTAGTTAGTTGTGACACGAGAAAACTTATTTCCTGTACGTCCAAACAGAAACTCAATTTTAACTTTTTCTGATTCAGAGGTTACTAAGTGGAGAACTGACTACTTTAAATACCTCTTAAAAAGAGAGGATATAATATTTGTAAAACTATTTTTTCCCTGAGCTCTGACTTTTTACTCTCAGGATTAGGAAAAAGTCAGAATTCTGAGAAAAAAAAATCAAAACTCAGGAAAAAATATGTTTTGCTCTGTAATCCTCTTCCGTGCAGAAAGACTGAAAGTTTTACCCTCAAAGTAAACGAGGTAATTAAAATATTAATCACGATAAACCTATGTCTGGTTCAAATCTACCACCTGTTATGTTGAAATCCTCCTCCTCATAGTGAAGCATGGTGGTGGAAGCATAATGCTGTGAGGTAATTTATTAGAAGGGTATAGGAAACTGGTCAAAATTGAAGGAATGGAGCAAATAAAAACCTGAAATCAGAATATCACCTGCATAGACTTGATGTAATAATTACTGCAAAAGGTGATGTCACAAATAATTTTGAAGGAAGTGGTGAATGCATCGTTTTCAAGTGATAGGTTAATTACTTTTAATTATCATGAATTTAAATTCCAGCTTGTAAAGCAACAAAATGTATTTATTCTCCAAAGTCCAGAAGACATTTGTAAAGATCAGTGGACATAAAAAATGCTTCTAAACTTTACTCAGAACCAGTTTTAATGCTCAGTCTACCCCTCATGACCACTGGAATTTTTTTTCCACGACACCACTTCGTGCTTAAAAAGACATTATCGCCTCCTGGTGGTGAAAAGAAAACACTGTCACGTTTCTTTCTGTCCCTGCAACACTTTCAGTAAATCACAACTATGTTTTGCTGTGACCTCTGCTGTGGAGGTAATTACAAAGTGAAAGGAGTAGTTTGTAGAGGTAGTGAGAGCTAGAGAGTAGGGATGATAATTTATGTTGACTTTCATCTTATTGCTGTGTTTCACTGGAGCGACAGGCTCAGTTCTGGTGGGGGAAGAATCCGGGTCGTGTGTGGGATAAGTAGAGACAGAGGTTTAATGGACTGATACGAGTCATCCTCACAGCACATCATGGTAAAAACTGTGCTGCCTGCAACAAAACAGTAAATGTCCAAGTCAAACTATTCCCGGTGCAGAGCCAGATCATTTCAAATAATTTCCAAACGTGTTCAAAGTAATCAAAATACTTTATTTGGCTCCAGAGGAAAACAGTTTTAATGAAACAACCAAGATCAGACAGAGGATCTTATTGTGCATTTGTGGTAGTGTGTTAGAATTTGTACAATGTGTGTTAAGCTGATTTGAGTTAAACAATCGATTCTCACACTAAACAAATTATAAGAGAAAATGTAGGTAATCATTTCTTTATGCAAGGTCATCAGCTCTAATAAACTTTATTTACACCAAATGACAAATGTGACGAATTCTAAAGTCCTAATAACGACATCGTCCTTATTTTAAAACTTTAGAGAACAAATTGTCTCTAAATGTCCTGTGACATCTCATACAAACTGATCCTTTTTTTTGCGTTTCCTTTGTTTGATTCCAAACAGATTATCCTCCTCATGCTGCGCACCAGATTTTTTGTTATTAAATTTTTTCCAGTTTTCTCTCTTCTGATTTTTTGATGTCTGCTTCTGCATCCCTCCCCCTCCAGTCCCGCAGAAAAGGTCCGATTTTCTTCCTTTGTGCATCTCTGTCTGAAATAAAAAAACCTGCCCGGTTTTCTTCTTCTTCCTTCCCTTGTTTTGCATCTTGTTTGGTTGCGGCCCTCCTCCTCTTGGCAAGTCCTCGTCTTCATCTAAAGCTCGCTTCTTCGTTGGTAGTGGGTCTCTGGAGGTGGGCACGAGTCTTTTGGGTTTCCACGGTTTGACGCTGCCGACCGGCTGCTGCTGTGTGAGGCTCTTTGTCTTGTGTGTTGAGTTCGGGAAGTCACTGTCAGTGAAGATGATGTGGCTTGGTCTGGGTTTGTGCATGTTCGGGGTTTGGAAGGTCGTCTTTTTGGGTTGGTGGTTGTTTGTGTGATGGCTGATTTTTTGTTTCTTCTTTGGCGGTTCAGGAGTATGAGGGGCTGGCAAATGGCCCCTTTTTCTCATTTCTAAAAAAAATTAAAAAATTTAAAAAAAAACAGTTTGATGTTTGATATCTTAATTTGATTCTTAATTTTTATCATTACTCTTTTTTTAACATCAAACGACATGCAGACAATGATCAGGTGATTAAGTAAAAAAGGATTTAAATAGTCTAAAACATTGAGAAAATAACTGTTTGCAACTAACTTAATGGTTAAGAGAAACAATTTCTCTGTAGAAATTCAAGTTAAAAAGAAAGTATTTCTATTTGTGGTCATCTGCCAGAAAAGAAGCTATAACCATGTATTTTTTAAATACAGTGGTGTGAAAAAGTGTTTGCCCCCTTCCTCATTTGCTGTTTTTTTGCATGTTTGTCACACTTAAGTGTTTCGGAACATCAAACCAATTTAAACAATATTCAAGGACAACACAAGTAAACACAAAATGCAATTTGTAAATGAAGGTGTTTATTATTAAAGGAGAAAAAAAATCCAAACCATCGGGGCCCTGTGTGAAAAAGTGATTGCCCCCTTGTTAAAATATACTATAACTGTGGTTTTTAACACCTGAGTTCAATTTCTCTAGCCACACCCAGGCCTGATTATTGCCACACCTGTTTTCAATCAAGACATCACTTAAATAGGAGCTGCCTGACACAGTGAAGTCCATCAAAAGATCCTTAAAAGCTACACATCATGYCGAGATCCAAAGAAATTCAGGAACAAGTGAGAAAGACAGTAATTAAGATCTATCAGTCTGGAAAGGGTTATTAAGCCATTTCCAAAGATTTGGGAATCCAGCGAACCACTGTGAGAGCCATTATCCACAAATGGCGAAGACATGGAACAGTGGTGAACCTTCCCAGGAGTGGCCGGCCGCCCAAAATTACCCCAAGAGCGCATCGACGACTCATCCAAGAGGTCACAAAAGACCCCACAACAATGTCCAAAGAACTGCAGGCCTCACTTGCCTCAGTTAAGGTCAGCGTTCATGCCTCCACCATCAGAAAAAGACTGGGCRAAAATGGCCTGCATGGCAGAGTTCCAAGAAGAAAACTACTGCTGAGCAAAAAGAGCATTAAAGCTCGTCTCAATTTTCCCAAAACGCCTCTTGATGATCCCCAAGACTTTTGGGAAAACATTCTGTGGACCGATGAGACAAAAGTGGAACTCTTTGGAAGGTGTGTGTCCCATTACATCTGGCGTAAAAAGAACACTGCATTTCAGAAAAAGAACATTATACCAACAGTAAAATACGGTGGTGGTAGTGTGATGGTCTGGGGCTGTTTTGCTGCGTCAGGACCTGGAAGACTTGCTGTGATAAATGGAACTATGAATTCTGCTATCTACCAAAAGATCCTGAAGGAGAATGTCCGACCATCTGTTCGTGAACTCAAGCTGAAACGAACTTGGGTTCTGCAGCAGGACAATGATCCTAAACATACCAGTAAGTCCACCACTGAATGGCTTAAGAAAAACAAAATGAAGACTTTGGAGTGGCCTAGCCAAAGTCCTGACCTGAATCCTATTGAGATGTTGTGGTATGACCTTAAAAAGGCCATTCATGCTCGAAAACCCTCTAATGTAACTGAATTAGAACAATTCTGCAAAGATGAGTGGGCCAAAATTCCTCCAGAACGCTGTTAAAGACTCATTGCAAGTTATCGCAAACGCTTGGTTGCAGTTGTCGCTGCTAAGGGTGGCCCAACCAGTTATTAGGTTTAGGGGGCAATCACTTTTTCACACAGGGTCATGATGGTTTGGATTTTTTTCTCCTTTAATAATAAACACCTTCATTTACAAATTRCATTTTGTGTTTACTTGTGTTGTCCTTGACTATTGTTTAAATTGGTTTGATGATCCGAAACACTTAAGTGTGACAAACATGCAAAAAAACAGCAAATGAGGAAGGGGGCAAACACTTTTTCACACCACTGTAACTCTTCATTTGTGTGACTTACCATTGACATTCATCTTTATCCTGTACTGTCTGCGTTTAATGTCCTGCACAGTGTCATAGTGTCCGATGAACGGGCTGCTTGGATAAACTCCACTGAACATCCTCTTGTTCGTACACGCCTGAAGAAAAACACACAGATGTTAAGAAAACAGCAATAACCAAAAAATACAATAACAAAGTGGAAAAATCAGGATGTGCATAAAGAATAGACTATAAACCCTTTAAATTTGCTCAGTCTGATTAAAAATCTGATGTTTAAACCTGAAGAAGCTGTTAAAAAATGTTTCACCTCCCAATCATATTATATTCATATATAATATTCATCTACAGTGGCTCAACTTCTCATTGAATAACCGGTCACAAGGTTTAAAATGTAAGAAAAATAGAAGACCTTTTAAAATAATTTCTAATAGCTTCTTCTAATTTAGTTCAGCTGTGTTGACCATTTCATCAAGCTACTGTTGTTTTTCCTGGTCCCTTTTTAGTATAGAGGACAAGAACCACAAGCTGGAAATCAAATGACTGAAACAACTCTGATACTTCATTTTAAATAAATTTATCACAAAAAGTCAGGACATTTGTGTTTGGTAGATTATTTCCTTGTTGTTATTGTGCTTCTTGGTAATAAATTACATTCCGAGCATCTGACTGGCAGCACCTGGGGGTACCAGAAGCTCAAAACAAGTGTCAACAACAACAGCAAAATAACCTGTTTGGCAGAGAACATTAGGCAAGTTTCTTATGTGCACAACCCACTTACCCAGCACTACTGCTCATCCCACAAATGCATGATCCTTACAAATATGGCACCATTTAAAAGGGAAATTAACAGGCTTTCCAACCGAGTAAGATTTATTGCCAAGAAACATTGCTACAATTAAGAAATTGTCTACCAAAAACAAATTCTCTTACATTTTTTTTGCTGTTGAGTTACTCAACAAAGTTACCGACATGATAACAGTTAACCAAACAGATATTCAATCATCATTTAGCAAAACAAGCTTTCTTGCAGTTCCAGTTACCCTGCTGCAGTTTCTTGTAATATGTTGCTCAAATCAAAGCAACTAAAAATGACAGCAGTGAAACAAGTGAAGACAAAAGTAAAGTACTCACAAAGCCAAAGTGTCCTTTCTTGGAGCAGTTGAAGCAGTAAGCAACAGATTGATCTTTGTTCTTTCTTTGCTGCTTTACAGGAGGGCCACTTTTAGTCTGAAGAAAACAAAAAACAAAATGAAGTAATTTATTGCAAAAGCACGTTTTTTTTTAAAATGAATAAAACACAAAACAAGCAAAGAGGGGTTTCGTACCCCACTCAGCTGCCTCCATCATTCCCATGCACCGGTCTGTATCACACGGTGAATATGGGTGCAGATATAAACTGGTGATTACCAAGGTATAGTTAAAGGACTGTAATGACCCTGTATGATAAGTAACCATGTACGCGTTTGGGCGTGCGTGTGTGTATGTGTTGGACACAGGTTCCCGTCCCCTATGGGCCCAGGTTCTGAAAGCCTTCCACGCTTCAGCGCTCACAGCAAATATACACTGATAAAGAGAGAGAAAGGAGACACACAGGCAGAGTGCATTTACTGCTAATGTCTCTCACACACACACACACACACACACACACACACACACACACACACACACACAC